GCCTGTTTTTTTCCCCTTTCTCTCTCTTTATATTTCGCGCGTCTTTATTTTACCGCGGCATCAGACCGAGGCGTCTCTCATCTGTCTACACTGCCACGCGGCAAGGGAGTGCCTGCACATGCACTTGTGCGCGTCTGTTCCATTTAGACCGGCGGTAGCAATGCCACATGCTCAATGCTACGATATATTTTTATTTATTTATTCAATACTGCAGACTCAAAGTCCAAACAGGGTGGTAATACATATACAAATAAAATAATTGCAAAGCGAAACAATAAAGGGTGAAGAAGGTTGTTTAATAAGGTAATTCATCACATGTATTAGTAAGACAGTTCCTCTCACATGGGGTTCTTGAAAAGTACGAATACTCAGTAGGTCTGTGCAAGCAAAGTATGTTATCAAGGCTTTCGGGTGGTGGTGTCGGGTGGGCCGGCTACTTATGGGTACCAAATGCGGGGATGGGTCAGTAGAGCTAGTTTTTTGTTCAAACGTTGATCAAGGAATTCTAATCCAGCTTTTTGTCTTCGCGTCTGCAACAAGGGCATGTTTTTGACCAGCATTTAATCTGAGGGCGAGTCTAACTTGAAGTGCTTGTCGAATATAAATCTAACAGCTTTTCCTTGAATACGCTCAAGAGTGTATATATTACGTTTTGTGTAAGGGTCCCATACTATGCTGGCGTACTCTAGTTTTGTTTGCTCAAGGGCAGTGTAACAAAGTAGTTTAATATTCGTGGTAGCACTTCTAAGTTTATATTTACTAATAGATAGTTTGCAAAAGGCTGATGAACAAACCTTATCAATATGGTGATTCCAAGATAAGTTAGAACCTAGTGTAACACCAAGGTATTTGTAGGAGTTTACTTGTTGCAGTGGTGAAGACACTAAAACGTATGCATATGATTGTGGATTTTTTTTTGCGAGTCACTGGAAGGAACATTTGTTCGCGTGAGACACATTCCCCCTTTGTTGCACCATTCACAAATATTGCCATGACTAGTGCTCTGATCGTTGAAATCGTTAGTGGAACGTATTTCTTCGAACAAAACACATATTCATTTGCAAATAACCTTATTTCTACACTAGGGTGAATAACATCAACAATATCATTGATATAGAACAAAAAAAGTAAAGGGGGTTAACACACTGCCCTGTGGTACGCCCGATGTGACCTGAAGACAGTCCGAATACTGGCCCCCTACGTCAACGTTCTGTTCGCGATTATTTAAATGCGCAGAGATCCAACAAACAAATATTTCTGGTATACCTGTTGTTCTAAGTTTGGAAATGATTTTACTATAGGTAACTCTGTCGAAGGCTTTGCAGAAATCTAAGTCGAGCATATCTGTCCTACCGTGTCTATCGATGTTTAATGCAAGAGAGTGAAACAGTGTGACGAGTTGAGTTACGGTAGATAATCCTTTCCGAAAACCATGTTGACACTTGGTTAATATAGAGCGTTCTTCAATAAACCTGATTATACAAGTAGCTATGATGCGTTCGATAATTTCGCAACATTGTGAAGTTAGTGAGATTGGACGGTAATTTCCTAGTGCTAAGCGGTCTCCCTTTTTAAAGATGGGCAGAGCACGGTCACCATCAATATAGTCACCGTCTGCCGCTCATAGGCTGGCTAATGCCATTGATAACAACACAGACAGCCCGTTACTCTGACCGATGGCCAAGCGCGAAAAGCGTGAAAGAAGAAGGTATTATCATCCGAAAATGAATTGCTACTAAATGCTATATCTACGCTCCCAGGACTGTGTTCGCCGTGTAGGCAACAATTGGACCTTATAACTAACCAAGTTGCTGAGCTTCAATATTATCAAACTGTGGCGTAATAACCTTAGTAACTATTGAAACTAAATAAAGGGTGAAGAAGGTTGTTTAATAAGGTAATTCATCACATGTATTAGTAAGACAGTTCCTCTCACATGGGGTTCTTGAAAAGTACGAATACTTCAGTAGGTCTGTGCAAGCAAAGTATGGGATCAAGGCTTTTGGGTGGTGGTGTCGGGTGGGCCGGCTACTTATGGGTACCAAATGCGGGGATGGGTCTGAAGAGCTAGTTTTTTTGTTCAAAAGTTGATCAAGGAATTCTAATCCAGCTTTTTGTCTTCGCGTCTGCAATAAGGGCATGTGGTTGACCAGCATTTAATCTGAGGGCGAGTCTAACTTGAAGTGCTTGTTGAATATAAATCTAACAGCTTTTCCTTGAATACGCTCAGGAGTGTATATATTACATTTTGTGTAAGGGTCCCATACTATGCTGGCGTAATCTAGTTTTGTTTGCTCAAGGGCAGTGTAACAAAGTAGTTTAATGTTCGTGGTAGCACTTCTAAGTTTATATTTACTAATAGATAGTTTGCGAAAGGCCGATGAACAAACATTATCAATATGGCGATTCCAAGATAAGTTAGAACCTAGTGTAACACCAAGGTATTTGTAGGAGTTTACTTGTTGCAGTGGTGAAGACACTAAAACGTATGCATATGATTGTGGATTTTTTTTTGCGAGTCACTGGAAGGAACATTTGTTCGCGTGAGACACATTCCCCCTTTGTTGCACCATTCACAAATATTGCCATGACTAGTGCTCTGATCGTTGAAATCGTTAGTGGAACGTATTTCTTCGAACAAAACACATATTCATTTGCAAATAACCTTATTTCTACACTAGGGTGAATAACATCAACAATATCATTGATATAGAACAAAAAAGTAAGGGGGTTAACACACTGCCCTGTGGTACGCCCGATGTGACCTGAAGACAGTTCGAATACTGGCCCCCTACATCAACGTTCTGTTCGCGACTATTTAAATACGCAGAGATCCAACAAACAAATAATTCTGGTATACCTGTTGTTCTAAGTTTGGAAATGATTTTACTATAGGTAACTCTGTCGAAGGCTTTGCAGAAATCTAAGACGAGCATATCTGTCCTACCGTGTCTATCGATGTTTAATGCAAGAGAGTGAAACAGTGTGATGAGTTGAGTTACGGTAGATAATCCTTTCCGAAAACCATGTTGACACTTGGTTAATATAGAGCGTTCTTCAATAAACCTGATTATACTAGTAGCTATGATGCGTTCGATAATTTCGTAACATTGTGAAGTTAGTGAGATTGGACGGTAATTTCCTAGTGCTAAGCGGTCTCCCTTTTTAAAGATGGGCAGAGCACGGTCACCATCAATATAGTCACCGTCTGCCGCTCATAGGCTGGCTAATGCCATTGATAACAACACAGACAGCCCGTTACTCTGACCGATGGCCAAGCGCGAAAAGCGTGAAAGAAGAAGGTATTATCATCCGAAAATGAATTGCTACTAAATGCTATATCTACGCTCCCAGGACTGTGTTCGCCGTGTAGGCAACAATTGGACCTTATAACTAACCAAGTTGCTGAGCTTCAATATTATCAAACTGTGGCGTAATAACCTTAGTAACTATTGAAACTAAATAAAGGTGTAAAAGACACTTTTTATGGTTTAATTTCAATTGTGTGATAAATGGAAATGAATTATTGCGGACTTACTTCAACTTGACAAAGGACAGAATCGAAAACCTTCAGCGTGTCCGACGCTGTGCCAATAACTATTTGTACGCTTAAAGCATGCAAGTAATGTCCTCTGTGCCTTCCTTAGCTTCCTCGGCGGTTTTTGTTCATTTAGGTTTTTCTATCAAAGGAATAAGCCATCGCTCAATACTCTGTCTTCTGCCCACAATATGGCGCGTTTTTTGAACGTTTTTTCGCGAAACATTTCCGAGATTGTAAACAATGACATAATAGTCGCACCGGGAACATCTCTGGCAGCATTTTATCGCTTCGAATTTTGTGCCACTGCCGAAGGAACTTCATTGCGGCGATTGCGAAATCGATGTGGCTTAGAGCAGGGTTGTGTGGACCATTTTATTGCGCTCATATAAAGCCGCTGATCACTGCGCCTGCTGATTTGTTATCGGGAAAAGCGCTATATTGCATCAAAGTACCTGACTTTTTTTCAAACAGAAGTTGGAGTTGTCACACTGTTAGCGTCCACAAAAGATTTCGCGAAGGCTGTTTTAGAGACGATAGTCTTTCTTGGGGACCTTCAACGCAAAAATTTTTGGTCTGTCTGTTTGTCGGCCGGTCTGTACATTTGTCTGTTTGTCCACTCTTACCGGCATCGGGTATTTGAAACGGCCGACCCCATCCGCAGCGACAACCAATGTTGCTCAAGGTTGAGCGTTCATGCTTGTGCAATTGTCAATATAAAATGCAATTATTGCGCATGTCTGGGGCACCATAACAACACGCAAATATTCTGCATATGCATCTTTCACTAGAAAACGCATACATAAGTAATTTTAAGGACACTAGCGCTTATCACGCTGCACTTACCATGCAACGCTTGCACGGAACGAGGAGTGTTTCCAACGCTTTGCTAATTAAGATGAGGTGGTGGTGGCACCTACCCGTCGCCTCACGTTCTACAACTTATCACGCATCTTTCTCCGCAGGCGCGCAACCCTTCCTTCATTTTCGAAGATAAATGCCAGATGGCGCTCGTGTATACCGTGCCTCAATGTGCTCGTTCGCCTCCGCTGCACGCTCGAGGCGCTCTAACGCAGCGCCTCCGGTATTGATTGATTGATTTGTGGAGTTTAACGTCCCAAAAGCACCATTTGATTATGAGAGACGCCGCAGTGGAGGGCTCCAGAAATTTTGACCACCTGGGGTTCTTTAACGTGCACCCAAATCTGAATACACGGGCCTACCACATTTCCGCCTCCATCGGAAATGCAGCCGCCGCAGCCGGGAATCGAACCCGCGACCTGCGGGTCAGCAGCCGAGTACCTTAGCCACTAGACCAGCCTCCGGTATACCATTCACCGATTTTCTTGCGCACAACATCAAATAAATGTTTTGTTCACTCTCTCCACACGCAAGAAGATCGTCTTTGGACGACATTTGCAGATTACATGCAGATACGGGGCCGATTTTTTGTTTTGTTTTTTCACCAGGCTGCTACGATGGCGGTGAATGTAGTTAAACAAGCCACGAAGAATACGCGATCGAGTGCCTTGGTCACAGTACGCGCTACGTCGTCCGCGGTGCTTTCAGCAGAGACTTTCGGTCCTGGACACACCAGGGGCACACCAGTGGCGATCAATCCCGCGACCTTGCAGACAACCGGAGGTAGCGCCCGCACCGTTGGCAGGAACCTGGTGAGGTTCATGTTGACGATGGTGGCAACGATTGTCAGCGCGTTGATCAACACGTTGGTACTCAACACGATGGCTGCAAGAGAGTGAGATCAACATTGAAGAGTGAGATCAACATTGAAGAACTACAGGTGACATCAGCGCCGTCTTCAACCACGTGATAATGCAATCGTCGTCTGAAATAAGCTAATTATGTTCAGCTAATCTAACTAATACACTTGCTATACAATCTACCCCAAGTGTTACTACCACGAAAAACACGTTCATCTTACCACCTTTAGCTTCTCGTCGAAAATAATACCGGTTGTCTTTGTGCTATAACCTTTGTCTACCACTGCTCTAGTCTACGTGGTGAAATAATATCTCTTCCATATTTTATCTTACCTCGGCAAGATCCCCCCACCACATAAATGAATGCTTTTGACGGTGTTCATATCGTTATTATCTCATTAGAAGTATCATACAAAAAAGTTTGTCGCTACAATCATCCCTTCGCATAACTAACTCCAGACATCTCTCTAATTATGCTCGTATCGTCGGTATCAACCACGCTTAATTGCCACTTTGAGCTTTAGATCATGCGTGATAACGATTAAGACTGAGTGGATCACGTGACCGCAGAAGGTCAAGACTGGGTGAAATGGCAAAGCGTGGGAGAGGCCTTTTTCCTATGTGGGAGTACGCAACTGCTGCTGCTGCTGGTGATGATGATGATGATGATGATGATGATGATGATGATCCGTCCACGCAGCCACACCAAGACATTTTCTGCCTCCTTCTTTCCACGGGCATCATCTGAATGGAACGACCTTTCCCACAGCACTGCCGCCATTACCTGCCCGAGTTTATTTTTACAAAATGTAACACATTGTCTGTCTAGCAATTAACATACACGGTTAGCATTTTCATTTTTGTATAATTTCTCTACATCCACCGCTTATGTAACACCCCCTAGTGGGGTCTTTAAGGTAATAAAATGAAATGAAATGATGATGGTGGTGGTGGTGGTGGTGGTGGTGGTGGTGGTGGTGGTGGTGGTGGTGGTGGTGGCGGCGTAAATACTTAGCGTTATTCTCACTTATTTTCGGCACTTGCGTGGACCCAGCTGCCACGTCGTCTGCCCGGTACAGCAACAGCAGCGACACCAGGAACGTGGCGCCAGCTACGGCGAAACGCCGATCCGACAATGGCTGCAGCCACAGTGTGAGTAGGCTAAGCAGCACCACGCCGACCGCCGGAATGAGGAGCGTGAAGTGTTGGAACAGGTTGCGTCTCTGCAGGACGAAGCGGTAGACCACCGAAGAGTAGCTGCCGTACTCCTCAAATTCGTTTATCTCTCTGGAAAGAGGAGCACGAAAAGAATGAAAGATCGTGAAAACGGGCACTCTTACCAATAAACAAGATGTGAAAGTCGAGTGGTGTGCTTGGAAGTTATCGAGAAAAAAAAAAACAACCTTTTAGGCTTATTATAGGTATTGCGAACGCAGTCACTGACACTTCTTTGTCAACTGCACATATATCGTCATCATTTGCACAACTTCTTCATTTGTGTATATATCCTCAGTGTGTGTCAGCCCAAGTTGGGCATGAATAAATTGGTGCCCTATAATGTATGTATACTTCGACCAGAACGTATAGTTTTATGTGAAGCTTCGTGGCAAAACTTTAGGACGTGAGCCCTATCATGCCTCGTCAAACGCAACAGATAATTAACCGTCGCCCTCTATCATCTTCCCGCGGCGTGTACGTCACCACGATCGAGTGATGCAACAAAAAGTATCGTGATGACTTTACGTGACATCACCATGACGTCAAAAACAACCAACACACTAAAGATCACAGATAACGTTTGCCGTCGCGTCATGATGGGACCGCGTGACATGTCGGAACAATGGTCAAAGAGGCCAATCACAGAGGCCGTGCAAGACAAGGCGAGGTGCAGAGAGCTTGCAATGCCTGTGATCCCAGAGGCCATGGAAAATGAAGTTATGTGCCACAGGCTTTATCAGATGGGTGGGTGTGGAAGCGTATTGACTGGGGAGAAAAAGAACAAGGCGTTCACCTTCGATTCGTCCTGGTCGAACGCATAAGGAATTCGGTGAGTTTTTCTGTGTCAGTGTGACTGTACCTTGCCGATTTCCGTATCATCACGTCACTGGACATTGTGTAGCGCAATGTTTGGGACCTACAGTGTTCATGTGAACAAATGCTATCCGGACGAATGTTGTGTCAACTCCAGTGTACGTCACCTGTATTTAGCGCTGTTTTTCATGTCGCTACGAGAATGGACTTAGCGAATATGTGGTAGCTCTTATGGCTTGACTGAATTCCCTACAGGTGCACCTCGTTTACGCAATTACTCTCCCTGTTGGGACTTTCACTAATTCGTACGGCTGTGCAAAGGAGAAGCTTTAACCAACTCCTAGCGGATAATTTGTGTCACGTTGTACGTACGTCTTGGAGGTGAGGGAGACGAGCCGAAACTCCGAGTCCTCGTTGGCCTCGGTGCCCATATCGCCGACGGTGAGGTTCACGTCCTTCACCGTGTCCAGTATGGCGCAGTACTCTACGACGCATTCGTGTCGGTCCATGGGGAAGTTCGTCATGTCTGCCTATAAGGACAAGACACGGATACGATAAGAAACGTAAAAGTTTTATTTATGTCTGAAGTACAGAAGCAACGTTGCCATCCCTGTAGATAATAAGGGGTGTCCTGGAGCACCCTATGTCCTGGAGCACCCCTCCCTCAGAGCAGGTGTTGCTTCACCTGCTCTGAGGGAGCACCCCTCAGAGCAGGTGAAGCAACACATTCTGCAAACAGCAAACACTGCTGGGAAGAATGTAGGATTTGATGCGCTGGTTTGCCACGATTACAAATTTTTAGAAAAGCAACAACTTGCAGGGCACAGAGAAAGTACTCCCTCCCCCCTCCTTTTTTTTTCCTTGGGGTTGTTACGCTGCTAAGAATCTGCGGTGCACACTCAATCCAAATTTCGTAGTCGTGCACGATATGTAGAGTTCACGACTGGTGGTGGGGGGGGGGGCGAAATTGCTTTTTTTCTCATATGCTCTCTTTTAAACAGAGTCTTCACACACTACAGTGGATGGGGCGCACGCTGACGTCATCAAACAGCAGATTGCTGCTATTAGGTTGCAACTGACATTAATCTAAAGCGTCATTTGGATCAGATGTGCCTCCTGCCAACGGTTGTCGCAGCGTGATAAAAATGACATAGCACCAACTCTAGCGCTCACAGGAATCACATCGGGAAAGAGTGGTGGCGTTTTCTTACCCGCGCTAAAGGTCATCACGCTCGATGACGTACTTTCTTCACACGCCTGTCGTTCCTCCCTGTGTAACTAGCTTCCAGTGCGCTCGTCGTCACAAAAGGAGAAACAAATTGCCTAAAGGGACACTAAAGTGAGACGATGACTTGGCTTACATTGATTAACAGCGCATTTTGAGCATCGTTCATCGTTTACTGAGACGTACCCACCTGCATCAAAGCCACTGCTTCCTTCTTGGAGCTTGAGCCGGCCGCGAGTTCGCTTAATGATTCCAGGAATGAGGAGAAAATCGAACTTACCGACACATGCCCTGGAACAGCTGAGTCTATTCCTACTGGAACAAAACTACAGTAACCACGTGCACAATTACACGGATGGCTCTACTACGCCGTCTAGTTCAGGTGGAGCAGTGGTTATACCATCGCAAGGGGTAACTCGGTGTTTTAAGACTTCACATGTGACAACGTCAACGACGGCAGAACTCGAGGCTCTGCGCAATGCACTGGAACTCATCAATTCAGAAGAAAGACCAGGTAAATGGGCTGTGTTTTCTGACTCAAAATCAGCGTTACAGTGCCTGATATCAGTTCTCCGACGCAGACGCCACGACCAGTTGACCTACCAAACCGTGAAACTTCACCACCTTTTAATACAAAAAGGCCACGACATCGTATTTCAGTGGTTACCTGGGCATTGTGGTATAGACGGCAATGATTCTGCAGATCATGCTGCTCGCACGTCACATAAAGAAGCGAATAGCGTTCCGATTCCGCTTTCAAAAGCGGATGCGGCGAGGCAGATTCCTCAGCTGGCCCGCAGTCTCACACTGACTGAGTGGAGCACACCAAGCATACGACGTACAAGACTGCACGAGCTCGACCCTTCACTAACTCCGGCCTCCACCCGGCCTACATCGACGTGCAGCTTCGCTTCTCTATCGCCTTTGGCTGGGAGTTGCTTTCACGAAAGCTTATACCACGTTAATCGGAATTACTGACAGTGCAGCGTGCGATGTTTGCGGCACCGACGAAAATATCGAACACTTGCTGTGCCATTGTCCTCCATTTGCCTCAGATAGACAAGTACTTGCCAACGCAATGCGACGACTGGATGATCGGCCTCTTTCTGTGCAGGTGCTATTACAGCAACGTCCACATGCCTCGACAGCCCACAAGGCAGTGAAAGTCCTGCTGTGTTTCCTGAGAAAGACGGGCTTGTGTGAACGCCTCTGACATGCGGTAGAGTTCTACACGCTGCAGTGAAATTACTGTCAGTCTCTCCCCCACCATTTTTTTTCTTTTCCCTCTCTTCCCTCTTTCTCGTCTTTCTTGTCACCTTCCCTAATCCCCCAGTGTAGGGTAGCCAGCCAGATGTCTTTCTGGTTAACCTCCCTGCCTTCTCCCTTTTGTTGCTTCCTCCTCCTCCTGAGAACTGTAATCTCTCAAGTTTCACCATCACAAGCTCGTCATGAGAGGCGAAAATCAAGGCTGAACTTTCATTGTTAAATTTCACGCCGAAATTTGTTCGCGTGACGTCACTGTATTCAAACTCTAATTTTTGCAATTTCGTGACATTGGCTGGATGAAATTTGCTGGAACGCCTTTGATACAGTTATGGCCCCTCCTACCACAATGTACTTCTATTTTTACCCACTAGGGACCACGTAGGACCCAGTAGATGGTGTCGAAATCTGCGACATCACGGTGTTCGATGCGCGAATCTCAAGGTGGTGTCTCCAACCGCATTTTCTATTCGCGCGTTCCCTGACTGACTAAGCGTCACCTCGCGGTAATTAGAAGAGGCGTTCTCGTATAGTTGTAGAATTTTACCTTATATAATAATACGCGAAAAATTCGTATTCTCTCTAGCTTCCCGTCAAAGCGTGAGGCAGATCCCTGAATCTCTGGTCGGTCATGGCGAATTCTGAAAAAAGTTTTCCCGTGATCGCTTCGTCGCACTACCGTACAAACACCCATACCGACGTGATACGATCAGCAATGGAGAAAGTTGTTCCGTACTCTTTCAACCTTACCACGGTCGTATATGGAAGGCAAGGAGAGCTCGAACTAACTCCCGCTGAACTAATATAGTTTTATTTGTGTAAAAAAACACTAATGCTTTGGAATTTCGTATTGTGGCTTTGGTAATCACTGCCAACATTCTATATAGGAAGCTCCTTCGAACATACAGTTAGAGGTAACTTTTACGTGCCACTTGGCTGTTGGTTATGTTTACCTGAGCGACGCTTGGCTACGAAAGACGTCCTATAGCTCTTTCAATCTTCTATTAGGCCGCCAATGTATGCGACAGACTTTACACCCCCCCCCCCTCTTTGGTGAATCGGAGAAGAATGAATTCTTGTAAACGAAAGAATTATTACTGACTGCTTAACTTTACAAGGAAAAATATGTACCAAATTTGCTTCACGTAACATCGTTCATCTTTCTTTTTAAGATTATCCTGCGTTATATTTGGGACAACCCCGATACAGTGGCGTAGCAAGGGGAGGCTTGGTGTTAACTATTCCTTCCCCCGACGAAAAAATTGCAATGTTGTACGTATATATATATATATATATATATATATATATATATATATATTATGAAGTCTTGGTAGTCTGGGTTGCGACAGCGTTTAATTGAGGGTGGCAATGAGGACAAAGAGACAAGCGGATGATGGTGATTGTGATCATGCAGGGATGAGGACGATGCAAGTAACGAATGCCCACACTAATTCCCCCCACTTGGAAGCGGACACCCTGGCCGCCGTAAGTCAAAGTGACGGGGAACGTCGTGTGAAAGGTTTCATGCGACAAACGTGGACAATCTCTGTGCTGCGGTAGCGGCGGTCTGTTGGGGCGACGAGTGGTGTCACACGATAATTAACCGGCGAAGTCTGTTCTAAAACAATGTATGGCCCGATGAAGCGTGGTTGGAATTTGTCACAGAGACCAGGAGTGCGAATAGGTGTCAAAAGCAGCACCTCATCACCAGGTTGGAAAGACACAACGCGGTGGGATTCGTCATAGGTGATCTTCCACTCGTGCTGTCTCGCTTCAGTATTGATGCGAGCCTGATGGCGAGACTGAGCCAGGCGGGAAATGTATTCTTCGCTAGAAGACTGACACGAATTCCCATGGCTGCTAAAGAAGGAGACGTCGAGAAAGGTAGTCGGGGTGCGTCCGTACACGAGATAAAACGGTGAGTAGCAAGTTGTTCGCTGAACGGCGGTGTTGTAAGCGAATGTCAGGAATGGTAAAAGAGTATCCCAGTTTTTGTGGTCGGGTTGGACGTAAACGGCTATCATGTCTGCAAGGGTTCGGTGAAATCTTTCTGTGAGACCATTTGTCTGAGGGTGGTAGCTTGAAGCTGTCTTGTGAGTAGTTCCAGAAGCGCGGAGTACTTCATTTACCATTTGTGACAGGAACACTTTGCCGCGATCACTAAGCAGTACACGAGGAGCCCCATGACGCAGTATTATTGCGTGAAGAATAAAGTCTGCAACTTCCACAGCTGAGCCTGTAATAACAGAGGAAGTCTCAGCGTATCGTGTCAGGTGGTCCACGGCGGTCACTATCCATCGTTTGCCAGCAGATGTGACGGGGAGAGGCCCGTAAAGGTCAACACCTACAACCTCGAAAGGCATTGACGGGCACGGAAGTGGCTGTAGAGGTCCAGCAGGTGCAGACGTGGGGAGTTTACGACGCTGGCATGGGTAGCAGGAACCGACGTACCACGCTACACTAGAAGAAAGGCCAGGCCAGTAATAACGACATCGAATGCGGTCAAGAGTTTTTTTAAAACCAAGATGACCAGCAGTCAAGTCGTCGTGGAAGGCTTCGAGCACCTGAAGTCGAAGAGAGCGTGGCAGTACAGGAACCCAGCGCTGACCGTCAGGGTGGTAGACATGGCGGTAGAGAACCCCATTGTCCAGCTTAAAGTGCAGGAGTTGACGACGGAGTCGCGCGTTTGGTGGATGAGAAACTCCCGAAAGGCAGTCCATCATGCGTCTGCAGTATGAATCGGACCGCTGGTGGGAGATAAATGTTGCCTGGTCGTCCGAAAAGGGTTGCGTTATTGATGCGAGCGTATGAACTTTGGTATATGTGGCGTTTGAGTTCTCACCAACGCTGATATGGGTAGTCGGAAGCGGGCAACGAGATAAAGAATCGGCGTCTCGATGTTTTCTGCCTGACTTGTAAGTTATGTCAAAGTCATACTCCTGCAAGCGTAGTATCCACCGACCCAAGCGTCCGGACAAGTTTTTCAGTGTAGAAAGCCAGCATAAGGCATGGTGGTCCGTAACGATTGTGAAGTGACGGCCGTGGAGATAGGGACGGAGCTTCTGGACCGACCAAACCACAGCCAGACACTCTTGCTCAGTTATAGTGTAGTTATTTTCAGCAGGGGTGAGTACGCGACTGGCATATGCAACAACTTTCTCTAGGGAAGACTTGTCGCGTTGTAGAAGAACGGCTCCTATACCAAGGCCGCTAGCGTCGGTATGAAGGATAGTCGGTGCGGCTTCGTCAAAGCGGCAGAGCAGAGGTTCAGACGTGAGTGACCGCTTCAACAGCTCGAATGCCGTTTCACATTCTTGAGACCACAGAAAGGGGACGTTCGAAGCGAGTAGTTGGTGTAATGGAGCAGCAATAGAAGCGAAAATATGGATAAACCGGCGAAAATAGGAGGCGAGGCCAAGGAAACTGCGAAGCTCCTTTGGTTTTTCGGGACGCGGAAAGTGAAGGACTGCAGAAATCTTGTCAGGGTCGGGCCGGATGCCATCTTTGCTAACGACATGTCCTAAGACCTTGATAGATTTGCTAGCGAAAGAGCATTTCTTAGTGTTTATTTGAAGCCCGGCGCCGGCAAGGCACGTCAGAACTTGATCCAGTCGTTCTAGGTGCTCAGGAAACGTTGACGAAAAGATAATAATGTCGTCCAGGTAGCACAGGCAACTTTTCCATTTCAGACCGCGCAGCACGGTATCTATCATGCGCTCAAAAGTCGCGGGTGCGTTGCAGAGCCCGAAAGGCATCACGTTGAATTCATATAGCCCGTCGGGGGTTGCAAACGCCGTTTTATGCTTATCGTCTTCATGCATGGGAATCTGCCAGTACCCAGAACGCAAGTCGATGCTTGAAAAGAATTCTGCGCCTTGTTGGGAATCAAGGGCGTCGTCAATGCGTGGCATAGGGTACACGTCCTTGCGTGTGATCTTATTGAGCGCCCGGTAGTCCACGCAAAAACGCACAGAGCCATCCTTTTCGCGGACCAAAACAATGGGAGACGACCAAGGGCTAGATGAAGGACGAATGACTTCCCGTTTAAGCATGTCCGCAACGTTTTCTTCTATAATTTTTCTTTCAGTTAGAGACACGCGGTAGGGTCGGCGGTGTACGATAGATGTCCCAACAGTTTGAATTCGATGTGCTGTAGTATTAGTGCGGCCCAGCTTAGACGAGCAAATGTCGAAAGAATTTGCATGTTTCTGTAACAATGCGAGCAGCTGCTGCCTCTGTGAATATGTCGATTCGCTACTGATAGCAGTGGTAAAGGCGGAGGAAGAAACATGCTCACCGAGGCAAGGTTCTTTGTATGTGATGGCCTGAAGTGGCGTGACAAATACAGGCTCGAAGTCAGCAACATGGGCCACAGTAGTGCCCTGTGGCAGTAAGATCTTCTCCGGTGTAGAGTTGACAGCGGTGACAAGTGCCGAGCCATTGCAAAAACAAACGACACCGGACGGAAGAACTATACCTTTGCGAACGCAAATTGGTGACGGTGAGACCAATACATCCCCGTGATAGATGTCGTTGGACGTAATGCTGACAATTTGCTCTTGTAGTGGCGGCAGTTCGATGTCTTTCGCAGCGACCAGACGAAGTGGCTTCTGATTGTCGTCGTCAAGCATGTAGTCCGTGTCAGCGAGGTGAACGACGCGTTGTCCACAACAAATCGCCGCGGAAGCAGATGATAGAAAATCCCACCCTAAAATTAGTTGGTGAGAGCAGCGGGACAGGACAGCAAACTGGACATGATGGCGGATGCCGTCGATGAAAACACGCCCAGTACAAAACGCGGATGGGCGAATGACGTTCCCCTGGGCAGCAACTAACGTGGGGCCATCGTAAGGCGTCATTACTTTCCTTAAATGTTCACACAAATCAGCACGTATCACAGACAATGTCGCACCTGTGTCCACCAAAGCATCGACTCGCACTCCTTCCACTTCTACAGAAACCATGTTACACGGGCCCGATGGAGGAATTTCAGTTCTGATTCCGAATGCAGTTTTTCCTCCACAAACTGCATCACTTAGTTTTCCGAATGAATTTCAGAGGTGAATGAGGCGGACCGAAGTGGAGAAGTGGAACGGCGGAAGGGCGAAGGCGAGCGGCGTCTCGTGTTTCGGTTGTTTCGTGGTGCAGTCGATGCAGGAGGAGATGGAGAACGGTGCGGGGGAGACGAATAACGCCGACCTTGATAAGACGCCCCGGCGTACAAATCCCGTTCACGCACGTCGTTCCGACGCTCATCTTGCTGGCGCTTTCGGCAGAAACGAGATATGTGGCCGCGATAGCCACAGTAGTAGCAAACAGGGCGAGACGAGCGCCACGGTGGGGAATAGAAGACATTCGGGGCACCTGTAGATAGCTCGGTCAGGTGGGCCGGAGGGTCAGGGGGTACGGAATGGTAGTTGACCGGGGGAGCGGCAGCAACTGACGCGTAGGATGGACGCGGCAATGTCGCGTGGGCGTCGCTGGGAGGCACGGCAGCAACTTCAGGGTACGTGGGTATGGGGCGTGAAGCATGTGGCTGTACGGGCGCAACGCCGGTCAGCGTTGTAAGTTCCTCCCTGATGATGTCACGTAAGGGCATTCCCGAAGGCTGTGTAAGTCGTGCTGTAGGAGGTGTGAAGCCCATGGACCGCAATTCTTCGCGTATAATGTCCCGGATGAGGTCGCGCAGGTGGCCATCTGACGTGGAGTGGTGGTCGCCAATGTCTGGTTGAAGGCGAACGGAGTCCAGCGCATCAAGGCGCTGGCATGTCGTCACGACATCAGCGATGGTAGCTGGGTTTTGGACAGCAAGTGCATTAAAGGCAACAGGCCCAATGCCTTTCAATATGTGGCGCACTTTGTCCGATTCCGGCATGGATTGATTGACACGCCGGCACAGTACGAGGACATCCTCGATGTATGAAGTGTACGATTCACCGGGATGTTGTCGGCGAGTATCAAGTGTCCTCTTCGCGACGGCGGATCGAATGTCCGGGGTGCCAAAACGTGTCGCAGCTGCTGCTGGAAGGTAGCCCAGTCGGGTAAGTCAATGACGTGGTTAAAATACCATGTCTTTGCGACTCCGGTCAGATAAAATGGGACGTAACGCAGTTTGGCGGCCTCGTCCCACCGATTAGCGACACTTACGTGGTCGTAGTCGTCGAGCCAGTCTTCTACGTCTTCTCCACGACGACCAGCGAAGAGCGGGGGTTCCCGCTGATGTCCGTGTATGTAAATAGGAGGGGCAGCTTGCGTCGGTGCGTGGTTGATGACATGAGCGCCGGTAGGCTCGGTCTGAGACATGCTGCCTGACAGTGGGCGCAATCGGCGGCCTGAACGAAGCTCCAGCGGGTAGAGCGGGCTGCGGGAGGTAAGAGGACCGAAAATTCACCTCCACCACGTATGAAGTCTTGGTAGTCTGGGTTGCGACAGCGTTTATTTGAGGAAAGATCTCGCAAAACGAACGGGCAGAGCCAGTACACAGACGATGACGATGATGATGAACCAGAGTGGCAATGAAGACAAAGAGACAAGCGGATGATGGTGATTGTGATCATGCAGGGATGAGGACGATGCAAGTAACAAATGCCCACAATATATATATATATATATATATATATATATATATATATATATATATATAATATATATATATATATATATATATATATATATATATAAATGAAGTGCTAACATAGGACCCGGAAGTAAAAGTTCAAAAAAATCAAGCACGTAGGAAAAATTGTTTTGTAAAGGACTGACGTCAAGGACTGACCCGCGGCCGAAACGTCAGTCCTTTACAACACAATTTTTCCTACGTGCTTGATTTTTTTGAACTATATATATATATATATATATATATATATATATATATATATATATATATATATATATATATATATATATATATATATATATATATATATATATATATATATATATATATATATATATGAACTAATACAGCCACGCGCATAAATAGTAAATGAACTCCTTCCACCAAGCACCCAAAAAATTCTGGCTACGTTATAGGACATATACACGTAACCAGGTGGGCACAACTCACGTCGCAAAACGTTTGCACGGATGCCGCCGAGCACATTTCAACAATTCCTCCGGCCTCCACATGCACGAAAATGCTTCTGAGAACGCTGGAGTAGACGTCTGACCTGGGGGAAAAAAAAAGTAGACATTCCGTAGCTGTACTTTCACCCCACCGCAGAATGTTGGTACGCGGTAGCACTGACCCGGCCTCATGGCGCACGATTAGTACACATACACGTACGAAATGTTATGACTTAAGGGCAAGTCTATGTCGCAATAAAAAAAAAACAGAAAGCACTCAGCCTCTGTTCGATTAAACTATTCTGTGTGTTCATTCGAAACCGCATATATTGAACTCGCAAACAATTGTCGGATTGACTATAACAGAATATATATTATTCGGAAGTCGTAGGCTCGATTCCTGCCCACGGCAAGTTATTTTTTTTCGCCCACTTTTCTTTCTTCTTATTTACTTTACATTGGTTCTAATAACTTCCCCTATACATTCCTTGGCATTATTGTCTGTTGGATCTCATTAATATTGTGTCAAAACAGGGAAAAACGAGCCCTTAGGTATACACTTCTTTCCCATATATATCTTGCACATCTTAATTATATATATATATATATATATATATATATATATATATATATATATATATATATATATATATATATATATATATATATATATATATATATATATATATATAGAACATGTGCGTGTATGTAGTGTGTGTGTCACTGAGAAAAGTAATGCAGAATAATTTTCCGAGCAGTGGTTCAACCCTGCAAACTCTCGCTCTGGAGTGCGTTGTGTCAGAAGGCTCGGCCACGAAGCTTGCGTCCTTGAGCGTCCTTAAGGCCAGCTATTCATATACACCATTTAGCGCAGAAAGTCCGCAGATCTCGGAAACATACAAGCGTGTTAACCGCACCACCATCGAGATGGCGCCAAGGGCACGCTCTAAAGTTGACGACCCCGCCCAATCGTTAAAATGTACGCATTCGTCTACCGTACCTGTACTTTGCCCTACAAGGCGTGCACGGTCGCCCGTACGTACGTGCTTATCTCATGAGTAGGGTTATTTGTACGTGCTGTGCTTTCACCCCAAAGTTTGCGTTGAAGCTACAGAGTGCATGCATGTCACTTCTGTAGTGGCAGCGGCAATGTTTGCAAAAGAAGCGTGCTGCTGAAACACAAAGAACTAACTGTACCTGAGAGTTGTTCGTTCGCACTCGTCTTGTGTGCCTTCCTTTCGTGCGTCCTTCGTGCTTGAGCAGCGCGCTGCACCTTTTGAGCTGCTCGCCGTTTTTCGCAGGATATCCCAATTTGTTGCTATCGCATTCATTGCTTCACCCTCGCGGCGAAACTGGAACTTCGTTTTTTTTTTTTCTACAATGTACTCAGTGTGCTTATTGGGGTCACTGTGTGGTGATGTACGCAGAAGTGATATGAGGCTTCCGTTCACCACGTACGTAGCGAAGAGCGGCAGGTTGTTCAGTTTTACGGCATGCGTCGCGTTAACAAAAATAGTGGAGAAGTTAACGGCTATTACACACGACGGATCAGCGGCGCAAAGACGGGAAATCACGGGGGAAAGCGCGTTATGGCAAGCGGTAGTTTCAAAGACGATAGTCTCTCTTGGGGACCTTCAACAATAAAATTTTGATCTGTATGTCTGTTTATTTGTCTGTTTGTCCGCTGTAACGATCTTTCTAGAGGCACCAAACGATATCTTAGACGGGCAACGTCCTCCGCAGCGCCCACCAATACTGCTGAAGTTTTAGCGTTCATACTTGCGCGATCGTCAATTAAAAAGCAAATATCGCGCATATCTGAGGCACCATAACAACACGTCGATGTTTTGTATGTCTGCCTTTATATTAGAGAAGGCACACACAAGTAATTATAAGGACCGTATCATTTATCACGCTGTGCTGACAATGCAACGCGATGCTCAAAAGGGCAAGTGTTTCCAGCACTTTGCTAAGACTAGAGTTACTCTATATGCTACCTTTAGGTAGCATATTCAACCATTCCAGCGACTATAGGCGGCGCAAGGGTATACGTCGAAATCGAGGACAAGACGGTGATGAGGCGATCTTGCAAGCGTGCATGGCAGCGTCGCAGAGCGTGGTGACTGAACTGCATCGTGCAGCTACGAAACTGAACTGCATCTCGCAGATCACCACCGTGTGGCAACTTCAAAGCATGGCTGCGTGGTGCAGCCTGCGTCGCTGAAATGACCGAATTTATAAAGCTACTATAGAGCTAGCTTTATAGCTAGCTAAAGAGAGCTATCTTTAGGTAGCACATACAGTACTTTAGCTAAGACGACATGGTGGTGGCACCTGCCCGTCGCTTTGCATCCTACTCCGTATCGCCTCCGAGACAGGCGCGCTTTTTTTCTCCGCAGTCGCTCACGCCTTCCTTCGTTTTCGAAGACAACTGCTAGATGGCGCTCGTGTCTAACGTGTTTCGATGCGTTCGTTCGCCTTCGCTGCACGGATCGAGACTTTCTAACGCAGCGCTTCCAGAATACAAAACACCGATTTTCTAGCGCAGAACATCAAATAAACGTTTTGTTTGCTCTCTCCACACGCAAGACTATCGTCTTTCGACGACATTTGCAGTGAAACATGCAGATACGGGGCCATTTTTTTTTACCAAATCCGCACGGGCCCTTCTAAACCTACCGCTCGCTCGCCAAATTGCATGTGAAAAGGTACCCTTCCGCCAGGAAAAGCTAGAAATATGTGAGGGAAAGCCAACTTCTTCGAACGTTTCACGTTGCCTGATGTTCGATATACAAAGTGTTCTCTAAAATGTTATCTTTTTCGACGCAATAGATTTTCTTATGCGTTGACGTTAAAGCAAAGCCATGGCCGAAAATATTTCAATATAAACAACATTTCGATTTACTCGAGTTCAATTGATTTGGTTTCTACTGTGCTCTTAAAATTACCAGATGCTTCAGATCAAGCACTGACGACATGCGTCTGCAGTGAAAATTCAAAAAAAAAAGGTGCCAGAAACGGAAACTTTACCAAGACGACATCATATAGAGTTCCGGTTTCCAAATATCGTCCGCCTTTAGGCTGATCACCTTCTGCCCCCCATACTCTGTTGCATTCCACTTAAGTCGGTGATCCCTCCATGTCTGCAATGAAAAAATAGAAACATATTCAATGCGCGCATGAAACGCTAAACTCTTTTTTTCAATAAGCCCGCAAGATCCTTCACCAATGTGTGAGAAACTAAATGTGCACAAGAGAACCAGGGCTATCGCCGAAGGCATCGCACGATGCTCCGCGGACTACAGCTCTCGGAGGCCTAGCCCGGGTCAGTAATTACTCGTTGGATCCTTAATAAAGCTTATTACCTAGCTACCAAGAGGAGGACGGATAAGAGGTTTGAGAACAAACCCGCTGCTCGTATGCCTCAAAGCTCTCCTTTGTCCTTGAATTGTGCACTTTTAGTTTTTATCATATATTACCGACACGCCCAAAAAGTCACCGCCAACACAACGATCAATTCATGACCAACCGATACCCTTTCACAAACAAAAGCCTTTCCCAATTGCAGGCAAGCCACACATATTTCTTTGCAATCATGCATCTATCATAAATATGCGTGTTCGTTTCAGTGTCAGACAACCACAAAACAAGCAGAAACCCAATGCTGGACGATAAGGAGCATACGAACAATGGGAACATCCTCCAACGTGTTCCCGGTAAATATTTGACTGCGCATGCATTGCACTGAGCACGAGGACTTCGAATGACGTCCAACAGTGCTTCCTTCTGCCCGCAAGTGCTTCCCGCGTTCAAATATATGCAAGGGAGACCTATGTAGCAACCAATTCAGTTCACTCAGACTGTCATGGGGAAACCACCAAAAGCGAGGACACCAGAAAAACAGCGCGAATGAAAATCCTTGACAAAAGGATCAAAATCCATCTTGCTTAACGTGGTTGCGGGTCAACCACGGTCTACCCCAGCAATCACAGAGTCATTATCCCTACCATTACTCTAAAGTAATAATAAAACATGTGATTTTAACGGGTCGACCTCTACGTTTGAGTCGGCTTACAGTCGTGTAAATAAGATAGTACGAAGTTCCGAAGAATGGGTGGAGCTGGCGCTTGTTTTAAGAAAAAAAGTGTCAAAAACTGGACAATTCTTTTATCGCATTTTGTTTTTGCATGACTCAGTGTTTACTCTGAGAAGTGCGCAGGTTATTGAAATGTTCCCAAGCTAGTTTAAAAAGAAACAGAGTATTAGAAGACGTTGGAGGCTTGAAGCGATGAGGCGTTGTTAAGCATTCAAGGTCATTGAAGCCATAGTTCTGGCGAGAGGACCTGTTCCTCTGGACATGACACCGACAAGTCATTTCGCAGATATTCTCGCTCTATAACACGCACCTGCAGTTCGACGATCTCCCGACTTACAAACAACTTTAGGGGTGTGCGAATATTCGAAAATTCCGAGTAACGAATTGAATATCGTTCTATTCGATTCGGTATTGGAATCCAATTTGGCGCATGTTCGGACTAACGATTTTTCAGCACACTTTTTTCAAATAATCAAAAACCACGGGAACATGCAAAATGTACAAGGCGCTGGGTCAGCAAATGGTGACTTCCATTGTTTTAGTGAATTACCAATATCGTTTGCGGAAAGATCAAAACTTTACTTATAACCACATGGAAGACAATTCTAGTCTAAAGTTCCACTGCCGGTGAAGCGAACTTATCCTCAGTGCCCAACCGTTTAAATGAGATTCATGGTGTACGTTGGTGAAATGTTAAAATTTTAGACCTTAGTGTTACTGAAATGCTGGTGACAAAGTACCACTTAGAATAAGATGTAACTGCTATGTTGATGCTACAGTCGAAAAAAATACTTCGAAGGCTTTCGTTGCTATAGATATACGGTCTACATAATTGTGGTGCCTTTTGTTTTTCGATAGAATGTAGCGATAATGCTACTTTGTTAATGTTTGTGAATATTTGTCTTAAATTAACATTTGTTGAATTCTAGGCCGGTCGGGAAAATTTTTGCTTTTCTATTCGGAAACTTTTCAAACAATACTCAATTCGTATTTGTATTCAATTTGGTATTATTAATATTCAATTCATATATTTGATTTGGTCATAAATTTTGCTATCCTTCCCACCCCTGACGTCCTCATCAGCCTGACTATGACCACTGCAGGACAAAGGCCTCTCCCCTGTTCCGCCAGTCAACTCGGTCCTGTGCTTTCTGCTCCGTCCTGTACTTTATACCCGCAAATTTCATGATGTCATCTGCCCACCTGACCTTCTGTCTCCCCCTAGCCCGCTTGCCTTCTCTAGGAATACAGTTAGTTACACTTAATGACCAGCGGTTATCCTGTCGATTTCTTTTTATTGATTTCAACTATGATATCCTTAACCACGGTTAGTTCCCTGACCAACTCTGCCCCGCCGCGGTGGTCTAGTGGCTAAGGTACTCGGCTGCTGACCCGCAGGGCGCGGGTTCTAATCCCGGCTGCGGCGGCTGCATTTCCGATGGAGGCGGAAATGTTGTAGGCCCGTGTGCTCAGATTTGGGTGCACGTTAAAGAACCCCAGGTGGTCTAAATTTCCGGAGCCCTCCACTACGGCGTCTCTCATAATCATATAGTGGTTTTGGGACGTTAAACCCCACATATCAATCAATCTGACCAACTCTGCTACACTCTAACTCTGCTCTCTTCTTGTCTTTTAAGGTCACCCTTATTATTTTCACGAACAAGTAGTTTAATGACATCTCCCAGGCAGCATGCAACACAGGATGTCATACAGACAGCGTGCAAGTCATGCAACGCGCAATAAAAAATAGCGTAACATGTAGAGTTACAGAATCACTCACCAAGCATATACCGACATCTGCGTAGAACAGCTCTCTGTGCGGATACTGTCATTCGATGAGACGATTGAAAGAAATAAAGCAAATACATACAAAAATACGTTTTTTTCATCTTCAGAATACGCAAACACTGGAACAAAAATATTTGCTGGATGCATCAAGATGAACATAGATAGATAGATAGATAGATAGATAGATAGATAGATAGATAGATAGATAGATAGATAGATAGATAGATAGATAGATAGATAGATAGATAGATAGATAGATAGATAGATAGATAGATAGATAGATAGATAGATAGATAGATAGATAGATAGATAGATAGATAGATAGATAGATAGATAGATAGATAGATAGATAGATAGATAGATAGATAGATAGATAGATAGATAGATAGATAGATAGATAGATAGATAGATAGATAGATAGATAGATAGATAGATACCCTCAATGTCGCCGAAGTTCACTAAGAAATGGTTCGCATTAAATAACACTGCTCATTTATATTTCGTTACTTATCTTTTCAGCAATGTCCACTGAATGTGCCACTTGCGTGCGGCATGGGCTGCTACTGCGGAAAACTCTTACACAACTTCGGAAATAAAGGCATATGCATGCCAATGAACGGATAATTGCTCTGTCAATGAACAAAACTGAATTATTAAAATGGCTGTCACAAAATATTCTTGTAAGTTTTGTTTCGTTTGTAGGGGAGATTGGTACGTGCAAAGTCTGGCTCTCACTAAAAATTATAAAAGGCGGCTCTATGCCACAATGACAATTGATAATATCTCGGGTATTAGGTCCCAAAGCCACAATATGAGAGACGCCGTAGTGAAAGGAGGGCTCCGGAAGATTTGACCATAGGGTTTTCTTTGACGTACGCACGGATCCCACAGTTTATGGGTCGCTACACTATTTTCTCCTACATCGAACAGGACCGCCACGGCCGGTATCAAACCCGCGACCTTAGGATCATTAGCCGAGCGTCCACTGTTCCACAAAGGTGGACACTACCTGAAAGAGTGCACCACATGTCATTAATAACATTTACACCGGTGGATATCTTTTATGTTGTGTGCTTTTGTGTGCATTTTTATGTTGTATGCATGTGGCCGCGGTAGTTCCACTAATTACGTGCAGTGCAAGGGTCCGGCTGGCGCAAAAGCGTTCAGCATGCATGTCCGGCATTGGGGGGCTGGGAAGCTAGAGTATAATCGTTGACTTCTATTATTGACGGGGTTTAACGTCTCAAAACTGTGATATACAGACTTATGAGAGGTGTCTTAGTGGAGGGCTGTGGAAACTTCGAGGACCTTGGGTTCGTAAACGTGCACCTAAATGTACACTGGCCTCAGTCATTTTCGCGTCCATCTAAAATGTGGCCGCCTCGCCGTGTCTATGTGCCTTCTCTTGTCCGTGTTCGTTGTCTGCGCTACCATCCATCATCATGCAACCATACCAACAAGCCCAAATCGCCACCCTCATTGGCCTCGCCGGGATTCGATTGCGGTACTTGCAGGTCATCAATGGTGTACCATGACCACGAGACCATGGATGGATGCTATGAGCGTTCCCTTTATAAAGGGGTGGGGACATGTGTGCCATCAGACTTGCAAGAAAAGAAAACGATATCTTCGTTCTTATATATGCTGTACTATTGCCTTATCTAGTTCGAATAAATTGAACTTATTATAACAAAGCAAAATATAAAATTGGGTTTCATCTCTCTGCCTATTCAGACATTTTCTCACTATTTCTGTCCTTTATCTCTACTTTTTTCTGCCACCAATACTCTAACCATCTCTTACTCTCTTCTATCGAAGACGTGTTCAGCTTTCCAATCTTGTCCCCTGAAACCAAAAGCCTCATGTAGGCTTGTACTCACACATTTACCTGGGTGGATGAGAGCTTAACAGAGCTACGCTGGTGCTTGTAGCTAGCTCAGTTGCCAACTTGCCCTAGCAAGACTTGATGTCGGGAGAGGAATCGCATTAATAAGAGAAATAAAGCAGGAAATAAAGCAGGAAATCGGCGTGGCTCTGTGGTAGAATACTGGGCTGGCACGCAGGGGACCCGAGATCAAATCCTGCTGCATCTTCTGTGTTCTTTATTTACCTATTCTTTTTGTTTATTTCGTGCTGTAGTGGCTACGGACACTAGAGGTGGTGGCGGCGACCGGGGCACTCGACTCTCGTTGTGATCCCAACAACTCTCACTGTGGGAAAATTCAGGTAGCTTCGTGGTAGGGGGCTCTGTGTCTTCAT